TGGTTTTTGTGCCTGTTACATTTCCCATTTTGCACATGGGTTTTACACTGGCTCACTTTAAATCTGTTTGGGTAGAAAAATTAATAATAAAACTTCTCTAATCTCTTGGTACAAATCTTGCCTAGTCATAGTGTCTCATTTGTTTTAAATCCTATTATTCTGTCTGGCACTTCTAATTTCATTTCTAGTCAAGTCATTGATTTCATAGAATCACACAATTGTTATGGTATAGAAGGAGGCCAAACAGCCCATTGTGCTGCAACAGCACTCCAAACAAGCATCATTACCTTGTGCCAATCTCTTACTTTCTTCCCATACCTTTGAACATTGTTTGTATCCAAATAATCATCCACTGCCCTCTTAAATGCTTCAATTAAACCTGCTTCCATTACGCTTCCAGGCAGTGCATTCCATACCCTAACTATTTGCTGCATGAAAAAGTTTTTCACACATTACACTTGCTCCCTTTGCAAAACACCTTAAATTTGTGCCCTTCGATTCTTGCTCCTTTTACAAGCAGGAACAGTTTCTCTCTATGCACTTTATCCAGCCTGCTCATGATTTTGAAAACCACCATCAGACCTGGTCTTAGCCTATTTCTCTCCAAGGAGAATAATCTCAACTTCTTCAATCTATCCTCATAATTGAAGTTTCTTATGCCTGGAAATACTCTTGTAAATCGCTTCTGCACTGTCCACAACACATTCACATCTTCCTATAATATGGTGTGGTTAAATGACCAGAGGCGCAAAATTGGACATTCTAAATTGACACACATCCAGAGAAATCAGGCCTGACAGAAAATTAGCCAAACTAAATGTAACAGCAGCCATCAACTATCAGCTGTAGAGAACAGAAAAAAAACAACAATCAAGTAAGTCAAAGAGGTTTGGGGGAACCAGTTACAACCAGCCCAAGGGTTGCGTATTGGAGAAGTATTGATCAGACTTTCTGGCACCTTGACTTCCAGCTGGTGCCTGAAGATGTGCACTTTACTCCTTACTGGCAGAGCAACAGTGAAGAATGTTGGTGAGACCTCATTGGATGTTTTGAACCCCACTGGCCAAAGGCCACAGAACTTCCTGGAAGGTCCAGGGTGATGTGGGATAAAAACACACATCTGGAAGCCACCGCCTCAGTGAAGGCTCTCAGAGAAAACCTCACCTTGCCCAGCAGCGGAGCTCCAACCACCTGGAGAGAGAGAGGGAGAGAGAGAAGATCTGCCCTGACCTGTAAGACCCATCTTCGGGGAAGGGAGCCAGCCCTACATCAGAGAGGAAAGAGATTCCAAAGGCCAAGCTCCAACACATGGATCACTGTAGTTAATATCCTTACTCAAATGGATAGAACTAGATAGAGAGTAAATATGATGAGAATTTAGGAAATGTTCACATGGTCTTTTTAATCTGGAATATTTTGTTAATAGAATCAAATTGAACTGCAAATTGAATTCTGGGTTCCTTTGTCTGCCTCACTGACAAGAGTGCTTGGGTAAAGTGTTTCTAATACATAAACTAGTCAAAGTGTGCAAAGCATAGACAACAATGATGCCTGGAACTGTACACAATACTTCAGCTGAGTAGTGTCGTGGACAAGTTCAACATCACCTCCTTTCTCTGGTACTCTAGGCCACTGTTAATAAACATGAGAGCACTGTATGCTTTGTTAATTGCTCTCTTAACCCGTACTGCCACCTTTTTTGATCTATGCATATATACATCCAGGTCCCTCTGCTCCTGAACCTGTTTAGAATTGTAGTTCCTATTTTATATTGTCTTCAGAGTTCTTCTGACCAAAGTGCATCAATTCATACTTCTCTGAACTGAATCTCATCTGCCACCTATCCATCAATTCCACCAATTTTTCAAAGTTCTAATGGAGTTCCACAATTCTTCCAAGTTTCATATCACTTGCCAATTTTGGAATTGTCACCTGCACACCAAGATCTAGATTATTAACGTAAATGAGGAAAGCAAGAATCCCAAAACCAACTTTTGGGATCTCCATGATAAACCTTCCTGCAGACCAAAAAATATCCATTGACCATTACTCTCTGTTTTCTGTTACTCAGCCAATTTTCTCATCAAGTCTTTTTGTACACATCTCAAAAAAATTCCAGCAAGTTTCTTAAATACAATTTCTTCTTTAGATATCCATGCTGACTTTTCGTCACCAACCCACCTTTCTCAACATGACTATTAATTTCGTCCCAAATAATTGTCTCTAGAAGGTTCCCCAACACTGACTTGTCTATTATTGCTGGGCATATTGTGGGTAATGCTGTTGATGTGTTTGCTCAGATTATACCTGTTTGGAACAGTGCTATCTATGCTTTCACTTATCAATTTTCGGAGTAACTAGATCTTCAGAGTATTTGCAATTTTACATTTATCCTTCGTTAAAAGCCTATTTGCATCTTTTGTGAGCTTACTTACTATGTTACTGCTGTAGCAGTGAAAGCTTTTTGGTGATGTGTTTAGCCTTTACTGCTTTGTATTTTAATCCCGCATTCTCCTGTGATGATACTTAGGTATTTCCACATAGCCTCGTACTTTCATCCCAGAAAGCCCTTTTTCTGTTTCCCTTGCAGAATTTTACACTTAATTTGTTAATCCAATTAGGATCACATTTGTTTAGTCTGCGTTTGGTGGTTTGGAAAATGGATTTGTCCTTAATGCAAAACATTATGCTTGGAAAGATGTTCCATTTTACTGTAATTATGTTGAACAACCTTTCTTTATTATTCATTCATGGGATGTGGGTGTCACTGTCTCAGCCAGCACTTATTGCCCAACCCTAACTGCCCAGGGCAGTTAAGGGGTCACAGGTAGACCACACCAGATAGGGATAGCAGTTTCCTTCCTTAGAGGACGTTAGTGAACCAGATGGGAAACTGTACAATTGTTTTAAACATTCCCTTGTTTGTTTGCATCTAGTTCTTTTAGTAAGTAACATGCTTGATTCCTAAATCATGAAGAAATATTTATTCTACAATCACTATACCACAGGAATCCCATGATTTCTGTGTTCTGTGCACTGTCACTAACATGTGGATTAATGTGAGTATAATCCTTTTATTACCTTTTTTCCTTTCTCTTTTGTATATCTGGAAGTACTTCCACACACAATCAAATGGCTTTTCCAAATAGCCCATAGTATTTTTCATACACCACCGGTAAGTCACCAACTTAAAATAGAATAGGATAAACCTTCCTCCAGATCAAAAAATATCCATTGAACATTACTCTCTATTTCCTATTACACAGCCAATTTTCTCATCAGGCCTTTTTGTAAACACCTCAAAAAAAATTCCAGCAAGCTAGTTAAATACAAATTCCTCTTTAGTAATCCATGCTGACTCCACAAACTGGTGTGGAAACTCAACAGGTTTAGTAGCAACTATAGAGAGAAAGCAGAGTTAACATTTCAGGTCCAGAGACAGTTCTTCAGGACAGGTTCAAAGTATTAACTCTGCTTTCTCTACTTGTTGTCACAGTACTTCCTGCATGTACTTCAGTGTGTACACAGGCATTGACATCGCCAAGAATGATGAATTTGTCCTGGTGTAGTACTCCTTGCTGATCCTGCTAAGCCTGTCATAAAATGCCTCTTTGACCCAATCTGTTGTGTCTCTTTTGGGGCATAGGCGTTGATGAGCATAGCATCACAGTTTAGTACCACGAGTCTCACCGAAGGCAGGATTACTGAAAGCAATCAAAGCCCTTGCAACCTTCCTTCAACATGCTGGTTCCAGCTTCAGATAAATGATTCATCATATTACAGGTAATGCTGATATGACAGATTAGACCATCCACTTTTCTGAGCAATGATCCACAACTACAATTTCTCTTTTCCAAATTATGATTTTGTTTTTCTAGCTCTCTTGTTTTGAAACACTGGCCACAAAATTGGGCTCCTGCTTCCTGGTACCTAACATTTTGATACAATGGTGTTGTTACAGTACTAAAATGCTATCAGTGATGTGCATGTTCACGTGCACGTGCAGCAGCAGAAAGGATTCCCCACTAGTGATACTTAAGAGGATCATGAATGACTCGCAATGAACAAAATTTATCACTGATTTCTTTCATTTAGCTTTGAATTTTCTATTAGTTGCACAATCATTTTCAACAACAGGCCAGAAGTAAGAAGTAAACCAATGTACAAAAATGCTCCTGATTATGTATGCTTCTTATTTAATTTAGATAAATGTGAGGTGTTGCATTTTGGTACGGCAAACCGGGGCAGGTCTCATACAGTTAACAATAGGGACCTGGAAAGTATTGCCGAACAAAGATACCAAGAGGTACAGATGCATTGTTCCTTGGATGGTGTAGGCAGTGTTTGGCATGCTTGCCTTCATTGGTCAGAACATTTAGTATATGAGTTAGGATGTCATGTTGCAGCTGTACAGGACATTGGTGATGCCACTTTTAGAATACTGCGTTCAATTCTGATCTCCCTGCTCTAAGAAAGATGTTGTTAAACTTGAAAGGGTTTCCAGGATGTTAACGGGATTGGAGCTATACGAATAGACCGAATAGGCTAGGACTTTTTCTTCCCCTGGGGCGTTGGAGGCTGAGGAGTGACCTACTAGAGGTTTATAAAATCATGAGGGGCATGGATAGGGTCAGTAGCCAAAGTCTTTTTCTCAGGGTACCTATCGTATTAAAATATTAGCAATGCTTCAAATATACTGAGTTGCCTACAAACCTAGGACATATCATTCACGAAAACATACTTCTTGATCAGATATACGGTTCATTTATCTCAACTATTTTAAATAAATCATTCATAGGTTCAGAACAGAAGCCATGGTCTTGTGATAATATACTTCTTTTTCCCCTTTCAAAAACAGAATTACATGATGGCAGAATATATGCTGTTGTTGAGTATTTTGTAACAATTTGCAAGTCTTGTCAATATTTACTAAGATATCGGGCAACAATTTGTGGAGGATCCAAGGTCTACATCTAGGAATGACCAATGAGATCTAACATAAAGCCCAAAACTCTGATGCATCTGATTTGCAGCAATTCAAATCTCCCTTCAATGCCTGATTGCCTCGCCATCTAAGGTATTTCCAGTTCAGCAGTCATAACCATGACAGGCAACAAGGAAATGAAAAGATTCTGAATATATTAATCAAATCACTTACATTTACACTTTGAACTTTGTACCAATGATGTTCCTGTGTTATTTTGGGACCTTAGTTTAACATCTCATTATTTCTGCAGCACTTTTTGGATGATCAACATTCGAGGGCAAATCCAGTAAGTGTTAGAATGCCCATAATAGGATAAAGTTGGGTATTATTGAAAAATTCAGTTGTCCCACATTTTGCTTGAAACTAAAGTTTTAATTGTTTTGAGAAGTTGACAAATGCATCCTTTTTTTTTTTACAGCAAGACAACAAATGCAACAGAAAGGAATGCAAAACAAATGCAATGAGGACAGTACTTCAACGTACATAAAACAGATGAGTCTCTATTAGAGATTTGTGGGAGGCAAAATTACATGTAATTAGTCCGCCCTCAAGCTATTAAATGCATTTGGAGAGTCAATATTACTTCTCAGCATTTTTTTCGATACTGATTCACGAGCAACAGCTGAAACTGACCATTGTGGAATCATTTTGTCACTATGGATCCAAAGCATCTTTGAACACTTGAAGCACCCTGAAGTGATTATCCACAGAAGGGGTTTCATTCTCAAAATGAAGTTGGTTTGTTACTTTTACACCATATTCGCTAAGGAGCCGGATAAATTTCTTGTGTTCTTTTCCAATCCAAGCTCTCATTTCATCTCGCACTTGATAAGGTGTAACGTGTGCGTACACAGGAATACCTGTTTGTGCAAATCCCTTCAAGACTTCAGGATTGGTGACCCAGGTGTTGTTTCCCCCAGCATGACCACCATCCAACCAATACATCTCTTTGATGTTATTAATGAAGGCAGATAGTTCCTTGTCTTTCTTTGCTTCAGACAGTGCATATAGCAGCTGATTTAAAACCACACAACCTTTGCTGAAACCAATTAATATAAATTTCAATGAAGGATCGGTACATTTCAAGTCCTCATACTCTCTTTGTGCTCCAGAAGAGCGCTGCCGACCTGTAGTATCCAGGTCATGTTTAGCTGCAAAACCATTTGCAGTTTCACAATGTGTACTGGAGCCTTCATCATGTGCAAAAGTAAATGAACTATGAGCATTTTCACAAGGTTTCGTCCATGAATGGAGGATACTATGTGCCTGCTTGAAAACATTGGTCAAGAGTGCATGAAGGTGCTTGAAAGCCCGACAGTCTGAATTATGTTCAGGCACACCAAACAGATTGCTTTTCACGAAGTTGTCATAGCAACTGAACTTATGCAGGTGAATCCGGGAAGCCTTTACAATCCAGATGTGACTATTAGGAAAACGATGGATCAGCAAAGCAGCAACTCCTTCCAGGCTCCACTGCTGCCAACGGATGTTTTCTGGATGTCGTATCATCTCGTCATGGTAGTTCTAAAAGAACAAGCAATTAAATGCATTAATGATCATCATACAGTGAGAAGCTTTCAGGTTTCATTTTGAGATTCTTGTGATAGTTCTTTGTTCGACCTTGAATAATGTGGATGAATATATTTTGCACAGGTATTAGTTTTTTTAAACAGGAATAGAGGGAACTGAGTTACAATCAATAGCAAACACTTACAATACACATTCAACAGGCATTTCAAGAGCACTTGTTTTGACAAAATATTTAAGTTTTAATTTCATTCACTGTAAACCATAAAGGTGCAAACAATCAGCTGGTCTAGCAGCATCTGGGGAACAGAAAGCACAATAACATTTCAGGTCTTTGATCCCTCTGAAACAGCAACTGTTATTCTCTCCACAAGACTTACAGTCTTATAGAAACATATAAAATTACGAAGGGAATAGATAAGATAGAAGTAGAGAGGATGTTTCCACTGGCAGGTGAAGCTAGGACAAGAGGGCATAGCCTCAAGATTAGAGGGAGCAGATTTAGGACTGAACTGAGAAGGAATTTCTTCACCCAGAGGGTTGTTAATCTGTGGAATTCCTTGCCCAGTGAAGTAGTTGACACTACTTCAGTAAATGTTTTTAAAAAAAAAAGGTAGATTTTTTTTGAACAATAAAGGAATTAAGGGATACGATGAGAACGCGGGTAAGTGGATCTGAGTCCACGAAAGGATCAGCCATGATCTTATTGAATGGCGGAGCAGGCTCGAAGGGCCAGACGGCCTACTCCTGCTCCTAGTTCTTATGTTCTTTATGACTGGAGGTCTTAAGCTATAGAGAGAGGCTGAATAGGCTGGGGCTTTTTTTCTCTAGCGCATCGGAAGCTGAGGAGTGACCTTGCAGAGGTATATAAAATCATGTGGGGGAAGGATAGGGTCAGTCACCAAAGTCTTTTTCCCAGGGTAGGGGAGCCCAAAACTAGAGGGCAAAGGTTTAAGGTGAGAGGGGAAAGATTTAAAACCATAGATTATAGAATCCCTACTGTGTGGAAACAGGCGCTTCAGCCCAACAAGTCCACACCGACTCTCAGAGTATCCCACCCAGATCCACCCCCTATAACCCACCTAATCTACAAATCCCTGAACACTATGGGCAATTTAGCATAGCCAATCCACCTAGCCTGCACATCTTTGGACTGTGGGAGGAAACCCACGCAGACGTGGGGAAGAGTATGCACACTCCAACAGACAGTCAAACCCGGGTTCCTGGTGCTGTGAGGCAACGGTGCTAACCACTGAGCCACCATGCCACCTGAAAGGGACCTGAGGGGGCAACATTTTCACACAGAGGGTGGTACATGATATGGAACGAGCTGTCAGAGGAGGCAGGTACAAGTACAATATTTAATAGGCACCTGGATGGGTACATGAATAGGAAGGGTTTGGGGGGGGGGGACATGGGTCACATGCTGGCAAATGGGACGAGGTCAGTTTATCAGTTTAGGATATCTAGGTCAGTGTGGACCAAAGCACCGTTTCCGTGCTGTAAAACTCTACGACTCTAAAAGCTGTCGCACTTGATCAGCGCTGAGTATTTTATGCTTATTATTTCAGATTTCTTATCAACCCTCAGATCTCTAGTCATTGGGGAGTGGGGAGTGGGGAGTGGGGAGTGGGGAGTGGGGGGCGGGGGG